ATAGACCTGCCCCCACAGCCATTCATACTACCCCATCATAGTTAAGAACTAGAAAAGTGGGCTGTATGTAGCCCTCGATGTAAAATGAGTTTGACATCCCTGATCTAAGAAACTGAGCACAGACAGACAATTTTGTTTTGTTTAATCCGAAAGTTTTTTCAGGCTCAGTTTGGGCTTTTCAAGCACATCACCCTCAATGGCTTATTTATACTTACTTAAGTTGACAAACTTCTTTCTTCAGGTCCTCACACTGGATGTTCCTCTCCCGAAGGCTCTGCAGGTTTTCCCTCAGCATACGCTCACTTTCTGCCATCTGCTCCCTCGCCAACTCGTTCTCCATCTGTAGGAACTGATGCACACAGACAGCAGGAAAATTAAACCTAACATCCTCCCCTCAAGGTTAAGTCGCATATTATTCCTGTAATAACCAAACGCCTCATGCTTCTCTGGTGTTAAATGAGACAGATACCCTCTCTAATGCTCACCTCGTTCATTTCCCGCACACCACTGAGCTGTGTACAGACATCCTGGAGCTGCTGGATCTGCAGACTCTGAGACTGTGAGAGGGACTGCAGCTGACTGAGCTGCTCCTCACTCTGAGCCAGAGCCCGACTCAACTCGCACACCCGCTGCTCCGACTGACCCAGTGATGCCTCCAAGCTGGACAAGGTCAAAAAGAAAAAAAAAAAAAACACAGCAGTATTCGGATATATACTGCAACATTTATGTAAAATTATAGTAAAAATGTAACCACTGGTTACATTTTTCTTCTTTCTTCAATTTTTTTTTATTTATTTTTTTTATCCTTTACTATTAACCAACACTTACTCATTTGCTCGATCTTTAGCCTCTTGTTTGTCTTTCCACGACTCCTGCAACCTTGAATAAAAACAAAATAAGGCCTATTTTAAAGCACATGCTGCAATTCAGGGCTTTTTTTTTGCCTTTCAAAGTTTACCCTGTTAACAAGTAACCACCAACCCAGTCTTCACTTCCATTTTTAAATTTCTATGCTTGATTTCTTTCATCAATAAGGAGCATCATACTTTGTAGTCTCAGCAGCCAGGGCCTGCTCCAAGAAAGTGTAGGATGCCAGCGTGGAGGAAACTGTAGCAGACAGCTCCGTCACCTTCCTCTCTAGCTGACCCGTCTCTTCTTCTTTTTCAGTCAACTTCTCTCGCAGTACACCCATCTCTGGATTTATTTATTTAAAAAAAAAAGTTTAAGTCCATAGGTTGTCAAGAAAGAAAGCATTTTGAAAAAGAGGGAGCGAAATAGCCACAGAGTTATTTCAGTTTTTACCTGATGTCAGAATTGTCACCTGCAGATTTAAATCTCCAATCTGCTCCCTGGCAGCTTGGAAATTCGAATGAGTTTCATTCAGTTCTGCTTCAATCTGATGAGGGTTTTTTTTAAGCATATGAATAATTTTAATCAGACATGTTGACTACAGGTACAAGGCTGTAAATATCCTGAATATAACAGATGCCTTACCTGCTCTCGCTCTTCAACAGCTTGGTCTCTTGCAGACATGTGCTCATCTCTCTCTCTCAAAGCAGCGGCAGCTTTCTCGTTCAGCTTCAGGAGCATGGGAGCAGTTTTGTGCAGAAGGCTCCTGACCATGAAGAGCTATAAACAGATGGCATTAGCATCAACGCATTATCACATTTTAACAGAGCAGTAAATGCTCTAATAGTGAAGGCTGTATTAAAGCACCTAAAGTTTCAACTAAAC